TTTACCCTGTTGGTTGCATTTTGGTTTATACTTTTTGGATTATTTGGTTTTGTTTTTTGGATGGTGTGGCCATGAATGAATTTCACGGCGGTGGGACTGAACACATTTAGGAGTACATGATGACGATCACGAATGACGAAATTGATGTTGAAATGTGTGGGTGGGCTTTTTTGCATTTGCATTTGCCCGCTCCTATTTACTACAGAGGAAAGAAACAAACAGACGAACCATAGACATGGAAATATTTTTTGTCCTTTTTTCGTATTCCTTATTTCTCACTTTAGGTTTCTTAGGCAAAAAGAACTGCCCCGGGATCGGGTATCTATGCAGTTCGTATATTAGTATATAACTATTAGTTGTTCGGACTTCGAAGAGATTTTTGTGTCCCAATCATTAAGGCTGCTGCTGCTGCTGCTGATGATGATGATGATGAGGTTTGGGTACATACTTACTTACCTATCATTCCACTGATGTGGATATAATATGATGTAGGTAGTAGTATCATCTTCGGTATATACTTCCTGGCGATTCTATCGGTGAAGTCATACATCACACGTTCATCTAGTAGTTCATGATACACGTGAGACGATGAATGATGGTAGAGAGAAGTAGTATGATGGCATCGACAACCTGGATTTTCATCCTGCAGACAGACAGACAGACAGACAGACAGTATGCTCTTTCGATTCTAAAGTATACACCGCCATAATTATACATACGCCGAGGGCTAAGTAATCACATGAGAAGCGAAGAAGATAGTATTTCCCAACTACCAAATAAAAAAAAAACCCCGATACGAACGTAATCAGACAACCCACAGATAAATATATACATCAAACCAAGTGTCACCTACTGATATATATATACAACATATCTAATCTACTTACCACCACCCCCTAATCCACCCAACCAACCCAATCCCCCACCCGACCCCCCTCCCCAACGCCGCCGGCACACCATACCTGAACCACGTCGACACCCTCCAAACATCCGCCTCAGGCACAACCACACCCTGACTCTCCCAATAACCATCAACCCCCTTCCTAGTTCCGTCCCCTTCGAACTCAAGATCCTTCCTCCCCAAAAACCCCCCTACAGCCTCCCAAACCAACCCACCCATGACCTCCACCCTACTCAGAAAAACCGAATGACTGGCGCCCACCACCTCCCTATACACCACACTCCATCCCGGAGGACACATCCCCCTCGCGATCCCAACACCCCACCGCTGCATCAGCACCGGCAACCCTCTATCCCCCTCCGTCCCGATATACCAACACGGAACGTCCTTCCACCCCGCATACGAGAACTCACCGCCCTCGAACAGCGCTTTCAGACTCTGCGGTCTGAGCTGCGAGACCCAGTAGCGGGCTTCTTCCTCGGGGAGGTCATGGTAGAAGAGTTCGCGGGGGGAGGTGACTAGTTCTGCGAAGCCGGTGGTGTGGTTTGCGCGCCAGGAGGGTGGCGGGTGGCCGAGGAAGGGGTCCATGAAGGAGAAGCCGGTTAGGGTGAAGCCGGAGGCGATGAGGATTAGGCCGATGATGGTACCGGATGTGGGTGTTTGGGGTGATGTGAAGCCTTTGATGGCGCTGTTGGCGACCATACCGCCGTAGGAGTGCGCGATCAGGACGACGTTGCGTCCGTGGTGGAGGGTTTCGTGGGTGATGGCGGCGCGGGCGGCGGAGAGGTCATCTTTGAATGTGGCGCTGGGGTCGCCGGTTGTGGAGGGGAGGGTGATGGTCGTGCAGTTGAGGGTGGGGTGGTGGGTTTGGAGGTAGGTGATGAGTTTGGTGTAGCAGGTTGGGAGGTGCCAGGCGCCCGGGATGAAGATTAGGGTTGGAAGGGGGGTGGAGGTTGTAGTAGGCATTGTAGTTTATATAGTAGTAGTAGTAGTAGTAGGAGGGATAGTATATTCCCGAGATAGTAGGTGCTGGTGTGGAAGCTGTGTAGCGGTTTTGTTGTTTGAGTGTAGTAAGTGACTGACCTTTGAATATTGAAGCCAATTGACTGTTGTTCTGATATGTTAAGAATTGTTTGATGATATCGAGGATCAGCAGACTGCATCTCGAGAAAAGTTCTGGATTGCGGAACCGATGGTCGGAGCCGACAGAGCGGAACCGATAGCATTCCAATGACGTATCCGCATAGTGACAGGTGAACTATGAGACACACTGTCTATCCATAAACTCAGATAGTTCTTGCTAGTAGCGGCATTAGTTACTGAGTAACAGGCGGTTGTTTGGGGAGTTAGGGTGCTTGGCCGTACCTTCACTGCGGGAACAGAGTCCTTCGTCTGGTTAGGATAACAGTAGTAGCATCCTCAACATGATGCAAGTAAGTCCACCTTGGTGATCGCAGAGCTTGCATATTCGCTTTTTCCCCCTAACCACGGAATAAATGTCGGTGGAATGCCCGCAGAAGAACCACAATCGTGTTTCTAGCTTCGCCCGTACTTAAAGCAAACGCCGCATGTCGGGGCCCACTGTACTTCGCAGGTGGTCTAAACCAGTCAGGTGCTGAAATCAGAAGTCCAGCACTCAGAAAGTATATCCCCATATCGCGGCAATAATGACTGCAAAACTCTTGTGGCCGCCTCGGATCCGCCGACGGTCTCACCGAGTGAGCTGAGGCCTTTCAGCACGATATCAACCTGCCGTTGCCAAACATCGTCGGCTGTCTCTCCGGTATGGAGCGGCGATTGCTGAGAGTCCATCAAAGTTTCAATTGTTCTTTGGTAGACTGTTGCCGTTAAGCTCGGGGTAATGTGATAGGCGATGAGAGGGACTTCGGCATCAAGACCGTTTTCAATGTTGAAGGCAGAGTCTGGCGGTAGCGACAGTACGCGTTCTACGGTCTTTGTGACCGATGCGACTGCCTCAGCCTGATATGAGCCCATACTTGCGATGATAGTGTTGTCAACAGAGTCGCTCCCCCTGCTGAAAGCCAACGCCTCGGCTAGGATGAGGATGCTCAGATCCCAGAATAATACGAGCGAGACTGTTTAATTCGTCAGTAAGTGGACATATTAACTAGTTTGGGTACCCACCAGAAGCTGTTCTAGAGTGTAATGAAAGACACTCCAGGTTGTTGATGCAGTAATTAATGAACGGGCGGAACTGTTGGTCGAATTTGCTCACGGCTGCCACTGTTGAGGTGACATCCTCTATGCCAGCCAAAGACTGATCACAGTGTAGTAAATATTTGACCTCAACTATCTGCCTGCATATATAAAACGCCTCCGCAACTGCCTTCTTGCAAATATTTGGGATGTCATCCTGACGGGGAGGGAAATTTTGGTTATTGGACCAGTCGAATGTTGACATGATCGAGCCGGTACTGAAAAGCACTATTCGAATAAGTTTAGCTTGGATATGCAAGACTAATCGCCCATAATAATGAGCCTACCTTTACTGTGATCCGGAATAGGAAGTCTGCATGGACGATTTGTGGTGAGCGACGCCCCAAGGTCACGGATGTATCCGCCCCAATGCACAGCATTCAGACTGGCTTCCAGCAGACCACTGTATATAGAGTGAGCTCCCAGAGTAGTACAGTGCTTCCTAACAAGCTCATTCAGAGAACAAAGGCTTTGCAAGCCGCTGTCAAGGAACTCGCGTGTTGACTCGACTGGAGCTTTAGTCGGAACGGTAATGCCACCAAAAAGCAGAATAGCATAGACAATCCTGAACGACCGGACAGATTGTGCCTGTTCGAGAATCTCCCGTGTCTGAAACCAAGAATCGTAGAATGCGTTCTGGGATGCCTCGTTCGTCGGTATCCCATAAACATTGTCCTGCAAGATACTATCAGCGGCTAATACACTCTCGGTAGGCAGCCACTGAAGGGAGAACGTGCGAAGCACTGATTTCAGCGCAGCATCAGACTGTTTACGCGCAGTTGCACTGATGCGATTGCCGTAGAGACCCGCGAAATGATCAAGGAAACGGACGGCCCCGATAACAGTAAAAGTGCAAGAGATATCGTTTAATGGCATCCCTGAATCCGGAGAAGATATGACATCCAACGGTGTAACCGAAGCTGGGGTATCCGGAAAAGATGTGTTTGAAGAACTCTCCAATGTTGCAGGCGTATGTCTTTGCGAGGGCTGTTCACTCCAACCTTCCAGTCGGTAGCGTGACGCCGTTGCATACAAATTGCAGTCGTAATCCACAAACCGGGAAGCACATCCCGTGATGATCGCGTGAGAAATCTTTGCCAGGCGATCATCTAAGATTGTTGCATCCAGCTTGGAATTCAGCAGGCGGACAGGACTCGTTAGTGAACTACCAGCAAGTAACGGCATCACGTAGGACACCCTGTCCGACAGACTGCTGCGTACGGACGTTTGCGCCTCGCTTGATACTTGCACTGGAGGCACAAAATCCGACGCCAGTCGATTCACCAGATAGAGGTCCATAATATCGTCATGGCCCTTCTGTGTATCATGGTCTTCGGTGAGGTTGAGCCCCGTTACCAGGGTATCCCCGGGGGGCGTGGTACCGGCTTGATAGTAACCATCAGGACTATCAAAGCCTAGAAGTGGAATTTGTGGTAGCTCATTGCTGTTTGTCGATGGGGAAGGCCGCACTAGGTCTTGCTTGGGCTTTACCCTCCGAGATCTGGCAAAGTCAAAGGTGCATGAATGGCCCAGTCGTTGGCAGTTAGTACACTTCTCTCCTCGGGGAGAGGCGAAAAAGCAGCGTCGCTTGGAGCGACGGCATGGATCGCAACTGGAAAATTGACGGCGCTGTGACATGCTATCGCATATTTCTAGATTTAGGTGCGCAGTGAAGCGATTTCATTTTGATGATGCTGGGTCATGGATATGTTGTCGGCTCAGTTGAAATTGTAGATGAAGACTGGCGGAAGGGCAGATTAGTAACGCAGGGCTTCCACGGGTTTATCTTCAATGATGCTACTTTATATTATACTATTTACTTGCTGTATGTCTCTCACAATCATCTACGGTGTTCTCTGATTTACTATGCGATAGCAGATCGGATGTCTAGAATTACATGATTTTACTATAGGAATATTATTTTTCAGTGTATAACGCTGCATGAAGAGGATACAGAAACCGTGAGAAAACCATAGCACCGTTGCTCTAAGGCTGTACAACCTGGATGTTGTTCTTCTTCTGTAAAGCGACAGAACTGTTAGCAATCCATTCGTCATTCCACATATGTGGACCACCAGGGAACAATATTCCTACCTTCCAGTTATCCAGATCCGCCTGCTTCGACTTGTACTGCTTCAATAGCTCCTCCAAGACCTGCTTCAATCCATCCGAGTTTGTCTTGAGAGACGGGAGAACGTCCTCAACTGTCCGCTCTACCAGAACACCGTTCACCATCCGAAAGCATTTGCGGTCCTTCGGGAGGGGGTCGAGGGTTTCGATAACAAGCCTAGTGTTGAGTGTGCGTTAGTTGCCATTCCCAAACAAACGCAAATGGGCACACTGTTGTGCAAAACTTCACAAGAGAAGAATCTTCGAATAGGGCAGCTTACTTATGCTCTTCTGCTTCTTGCTCAATGTCACCGATCTTCTGCGCCAATTGTTGTAGCGTGTTTTTGTAGTTGGAGTACTGGAGCTGGAGCTCTGCTTCGAATCAGTTTGGCTTCTTCAGACGACAACAAAAAACAAGATAGATACAGGACATACCCTGTTGCCTCTTGGGGTTGACTTGTGCTTGGCTGGCCATGATGTCGAAATTTGATTGAAAGCGCAGTTGTAAAGCCGGAGTTGCGATGCGGGGAGTTTCGATATGGATCCGCGGTGCTTGCGGCGTCGCTTTGTTGCAATTATGTCTGCGTCGCTAACGAACAAACCACTACTAATGCAGGTGCAAGGGATAAACAGTACAATTGACTACAACTAACTAACTAATTATCAGAGCTCTTTTTAATATACCAAGGTTTTCCACACCATCTTCTGCCTGTTCTTGGGAGGGGATGTTACACGTGACGAAGCGGGCGGCGATGTTTGCAGTGTTTGCCGCAACTCCGATAGAAACGATGGATTCCGCAATTCGCGGCGATTGCATCTTCTCCAACTATCGGCGGGAGGTGTAGCCCCCTGCGAAGCATTAAGATATTAATTGCTCTAGCAAGCGATCGTGTTGTTCGATCATCAATTACACACCATTATGGCCTCCAACGACCAGCCTCCAGCCAAAAGGCTGAAGAGCTCCAATCTCCCGCCACAGCTGCGCGACGCAAAGCGCAAGGACATCGACAACTGGGAAACGAACCGTATGCTCACATCTGGTGTCGCCCAGAGACGCGATTTCGATGGCGACTTCATGCCCGAAGATGAAGAAGCCACCCGAGTTCATTTGCTAGTCCATGACCTCCGTCCACCCTTCCTCGATGGCCGCACGATCTTCACCAAGCAGCTCGAGCCTATCTCAGCTGTCCGAGACCCGCAGAGTGACATGGCTGTTTTCAGTCGGAAAGGAAGCAAAGTGGTTCGCGAACGACGTCAGCAGCGAGAACGCCAGAAGCAAGCGCAGGAGGCGACAACGATGGCGGGAACGGCGCTGGGAAACCTCATGGGCGTAAAGGAGGATGAGGGTGACAGTGCGGTCGCTATGCCAGTGGAGGATGCCTACAAGAGCGGAAACAAGTTCGCCCAACATCTGAAAAAGGATGAAGGTGGGCAGAGTTCGTTCAGCAAGAGCAAGACGCTTCGGGAGCAGAGGGAGTTCCTGCCGGCGTTCGCGGTCCGAGAGGATTTGTTGCGCGTCATTCGGGATAACCAGGTTGTGGTCGTGGTTGGTGAGACTGGGTCTGGAAAAACAACACAGCTGACGCAGTTCCTGCACGAGGACGGCTATTCGAAGTATGGCATGATTGGGTGTACGCAACCTCGTCGGGTGGCAGCTATGAGTGTTGCCAAGCGTGTCAGTGAAGAAATGGAGGTGGATCTTGGTGATGAAGTTGGGTATGCGATTCGTTTCGAAGATTGCACAGGCCCGAAGACGGTCATTAAGTACATGACCGATGGTGTCCTTCTACGAGAGTCACTTGTCCAGCAGGACCTCGACAAGTATTCTTGTATCATCATGGACGAAGCGCACGAGAGAGCATTGAACACAGATGTGCTCATGGGTCTCCTCAAGAAAGTCCTAGCTCGACGCAGGGACTTGAAGCTCATTGTCACATCGGCCACCATGAACGCAGAACGCTTCTCCAGATTCTACGGTGGCGCACCGGAGTTCATCATCCCCGGAAGAACATTCCCTGTCGATACCCATTTCTCACGCACACCCTGCGAGGACTATGTTGACAGCGCGGTCAAGCAGGTCTTGGCCATCCACGTGTCGCAAGGTCCTGGTGATATTCTTGTGTTCATGACAGGTCAGGAAGACATTGAAGCAACATGCGAGCTGGTCGATGAGCGGTTAAAGCTACTAAACGATCCGCCGAAGTTGAGTATTCTACCCATTTACAGTCAGATGCCTGCGGAGCAACAGGCCAAAATTTTCGAACGGGCTGAGCCTGGCGTGCGGAAAGTGATTGTTGCCACCAACATTGCGGAAACCAGTCTGACAGTTGACGGTATCATGTTCGTTGTGGATTCGGGCTACTCCAAGCTAAAGGTGTACAACCCCAAGATGGGCATGGACACTCTGCAGATCACGCCTATATCACAGGCCAATGCCAACCAGCGTTCTGGTCGAGCAGGACGTACGGGGCCGGGCAAGGCATATCGTCTGTATACCGAGGTGGCGTACAAGAACGAGCTATACCTGCAAACTATCCCGGAAATCCAGCGGACCAGTCTTTCCAACACCGTCCTTCTCCTTAAATCTCTTGGCGTCAAAGACCTTCTCGACTTCGACTTTATGGACCCCCCTCCCCAAGAAACAATCACCACATCCCTCTTCGAACTTTGGTCTCTTGGAGCGCTCGACAACCTCGGTGACCTCACTCCACTAGGACGTCAGATGACACCATTCCCAATGGATCCCCCGCTCGCAAAGCTCATCATCACCGCCGCAGAGACCTACGGCTGCAGCGAGGAGATGCTCACCATTGTATCCATGCTATCCGTCCCCAGCGTCTTCTACCGCCCCAAAGAGCGCCAAGAGGAATCCGACGCTGCGCGCGAGAAATTCTTCGTCCCGGAATCCGACCACCTCACTCTCCTCCACGTCTACACGCAATGGAAAGCAAACGGCTACTCCGACGGCTGGTGCACACGCCACTTCCTCCACGCCAAGGCCCTGCGGCGGGCGCGCGAAGTGCGCGACCAACTGCACGACATCATGACGGTGCAGAAGATGCCCCTGGTCAGCTGCGGCACCGACTGGGACGAGATCCGCAAGTGCATCTGCTCGGGTTTCTACCACCAAGCCGCGCGCGTCAAGGGTATCGGCGAGTTCCTCAACCTCCGAACCAGCGTCAGCATGCAACTCCACCCAACCAGTGCCCTCTACGGTCTGGGATATGTCCCGGAGTACGTAGTCTACCATGAATTGATCCTCACCAGTAAGGAGTACATGTCCACCGTGACTGCTGTAGATCCACACGTAAGTTCACCTCCACCCCCGAATCCCATCACATACCCCGATACAAGTCAAGTACTAATGGAATCCAACAACAGTGGCTCGCCGAACTCGGAGGCGTCTTCTACTCCGTCAAAGAAAAGGGCTACTCTCAGCGCGAGCGCCGCATCACGGAACAAGAGTTCAACCGGCGCGTGGAGATCGAGACCCAGATGGCGGCGGACCGCGAACGCGCCGCAGCGGAGAAGCAGCGCGAAGCGGAGAGGAACGATCCGACCAGACGCAGAAAGGAGATCGAAGTGGGATCTGTGGTACGGAGGCCTATCGCGAGGGCAAGGCGTGTAGGAGGTGTGACGGCCTCGAGTAGTGGTGGTGCGCGCAATGGCGGAAGCGGAGGCGGAAGCGTGGTGAAGAAGCCGCAGATCAAGCGCAAACCGGGACGGGCTTTTTGATTTATACTAGTAGAGAATATAGGATATACTATACCCAGGGAATATATGATTAGATTCAATAGCTGATATCATTGCTATATGAAAGTCGATGCTGAGAGTAAACAGTAGAATCGATATACATTGATACACAGGTATAAATAGTAATAGCTAGCTAACATAACGCAATAACAGATCCTCGACTTGTTTTAACCTTCTCAAACCCGGATAGGAACCAGATAAGAGACTAGGCTACTCCACCAGGGAAACAGCCTGCATGCACCCTTCCTATCCTATCCATCTTATCCTCCCACCTGTCACTTTATATCCAGCGTTCTGCCTTTCCACCCTCTTCCCATAATATCCGCTGCACACCACCACCCCTTCAAACATATCCCTCCATACCAGACCCGATAGCTTCTAGTTAATAAAGTTAATACAAAAGAAATGCAGAATCAAACTCCCGAAGACATAGTCCGCGAATGCCCTATACAAGAAAACCCAAACCAGTTAGCACAAATTCCAACCCTTTCCAAAGTCAATAGTAATGAATAAAGTAAATGTTGAAAACTCACCTCTCAGCCGAAACACCACCACTCCCTTCCTCCCCAGCATCTCCCTTGACAACCTTCTTCCCTCCCTTCCCTTTCGCACCACCAGCACCCCCAGTCGAAGAAGAAGACGAAGTAGCAGCACTAGTCTGCATCCTCAAACTCGCCGTAAGAACAAACTGTCCTACAGCGGCACAGAAACCACTCAGGAAGGCATTGAACGGCTGTGTAAGTACCCAAAACACATTAGCCACAAATTCTCCACCTAGATATTTCCCTCTCCCCCCTAACCAAAAAAGAAAGAATGTATGTATGTATGTATGTATGGGCAAACTCACATAATTCCCCCCAACAACACAATAAACAAACTGCACACCACCAACCAGCACCAAGAATCCCATGAACGCATCAAGCAGCATTGTGCGCTGCGGCGTAGTAGCCAGATACTGCTGCCAGACCGTGTGGGCGATATCGTAGATAGAGGAGTTCTGGGTGAGGGTTTTGGGACCGGAGGAAAGAAGAGAGGAGGAGGATGCTGCGGGTGCGGATGATGATGATGCGGAGGGCATGGTGGGTGGTGAGGGCGCGGGGATGGGGCCTGTTGTTGCTGCTGGTGCGGCGGTGCGTTTTGGGGCCATGTTGTGTATCTGGATTTCTCTGTTTCTAATTGAGGTCGGGGTTGGGTTGAGGGCGAAGAAGGATTGGGAAGGGGAGAGGTAGGTGGAGGTATAGTTACGCAAGCTGGCCTGTCCTGGGGCGGGTGGTGGTTACGCGGTGTCACGTGACTTATAGATTGGGGGTGTTGTTATTGTTCTATTAGGAAAATAATTGGCTGGATTGTTTGATTTAAGGGGGGAATAATGATGGGATTCTGATTAGGGATTTTATAGGATATGTTATGTTCATTTAGTGTTGCTATACTCCCTACTATGTAGGTATACAGGTAAAGTACTGCCTCGGCTGCATTGCAAGGTACGTACATACATACATAATTCATCATTAGCTTTTAGCTCATTCCTAGCTAAATTTCTCATTATCGTGAATGGAGAGGGTTTGGTGGTCGTGTAGAGAGGAGACATTCAGTACAGAGGCATCTTCATGATGCCGGTAATAGCCACCAGGGCCATCAAGGTATCAACACTACTGGTATCATCATCAAGCAAGCCAGTCCAGGGCATTGCCAAAAGGATTCTGCGTATTGGACGCTTGCAGGTCCATCTGGAAATCAGTCATGACCTGATCCCATTCTTCCCAGTTGAGATTCGCATTAGGCATCTCCTGCTGGGTCGCGCTCGGCTCCGCCGGCCTCACTAGCGTGTCTATCGACGCGCCCGAGCACTCCTGCTGCTGTATGCTGGCTGCTGTAGCAGGGTTCAGCCAGTCCGTGTCAGGGAATAAATCTTTGATCACGCTAACTGGCCCGTCGCGCAGATCGAAGTCGAGTCCGCCGTTCTCAGACACACCATGCAAGGGTTCATTCTCTTGGGTTGTTGGTGAAGCCTGGAAGTCCAGTGCTCGGGGCAGGACTGGGGGCTGTATAATTGAGACTCCAGGGCAGTTCGGGGCAGTGACATCGTGAGCTGCAATCATGCCGGAACTCATCTGCGCGCGCATCTCCTCTTGCTTGGCTCTGAACGCGGTTGCTCGCTTCATCAAGCGGGAAAGCGGACGCCAGAGCATGCCTTTCCGCTGCTTGCTGTTCTTGATCCAGTCTGTATATAGGGTGCTCACGCATTTCCATGCCCGGTCGGTAAGAGGACTAAGTGGGCGGACGCAAAGCTCTGACAGCACAAAGGCGATGGCATGCCATTGCATGTTCGTGGCAAAGAGCCAGCTCCATTTGTACGTCTTGACGTCGCCATCCAGCAGCCGCTGGAACTCAGCCACCTCCACTGAAGTAGCAAACAAGCTCTCGCGATTTGCGTGGCTCAACGTTAAGCCCCGTTCAGGCCGGGTCATCGGATGATGAATGACAAGCCAGAGTTTGGTCAGGATGAGGCGACCAATCGTTGCGCAGACCCACTGAATCGGAATATTCATGTCACAATGTTTAATATATCGGTCTTCAATGCGGTCGTTAATCGCCCGAATCACCTTGGAGCAGTTATCAGGGTTGAGCTGTCGGGTTGCCGAAATGAAAGGGGCGTTCGGACAAGTGTAGCTGACTCGACGCACAGCAACTGTAATATCGCAGCGAATTAGGCAAAATGTCATTTCAGTCCAGCCTACTCTCTCCTTAGGAGGCTCCTTCATGTCTGGCGTGATGTCCTCGTCATTGATATTCAGTGGCAGTCGAGTATCGTACAATCGCTCATGAATCTGCGCATCAGATCCGTGATCCTCTGCTGCCCGGATGTCCAACAAACAGATGTGCCACCATAGTCGTCGGCGCATCTCCGTTTCATAAGGCTTCAGGCCGAAGTTCGTGCCGTCACGATGAAGACCCAGCCCTTGCGCAAGGCGAAGAACAAGCGCTGTCATAGACCAGACAAATTTGGTGTCATCTTCTCGACGAATGCCTATCAAGAATATGACCACAGCCTGTAGGAGAGTGATATTTTGAGTGTTCAAAAGATCCGCTTTGGAAAGCGCTTGCTCGACTGCGAACCGGTATCGCTTGACAAGCACATCCCTCTCTTCTCCCAGGTGCACTGAACACTGGCTGGGCGACATGCTGATAATCGCGACCATGCACATTGCAAGGAATAGCGCCTCAAAGTTCTTATCCAAGCTGTTTGGATCTTGGGAAGCTGTAGTGAATAGCTGCCTGGCGCTTGCTTTATGAACGATTGGTATCAAGGGCGCCACATTTTCCAACCAGGTATTCCATAAGAAGGGAATCTGGGATCTCGGCGGTAGGAAATCGTGTAGTGAGTGTGAAACGGAGTAGAACCCGAATAAAAACCCATCATGGTTGGCCGAATGGCTTGACGATGTCTCAGGAGACGGATAGTCTTCCTCGTCCGAAGACGACGGATCTAGAATATCTTGCAGTTCCTCGATCTATCGACATTAGCATCATTACAAGATAAGAAGAAAACAGGAATAATCACCTCATCTCCGAGACTCGCCCAGAATCGATTGCTAACATAACGGCTTCGACCCTCGTCGATAACCAGTCGACCAAACTCATGTTCAATATTCCGCGGCGCTATCGGCCTGGTAGGATCCAGCTTGGCTGCATCCATAAGAAGCGGGCAGCCATCACCATCACCATCAGGCACCGAGGCCTGCGCATTGGCCGGGGGTGCGGGTGGATTTTGAGGATGCTGTTGTACCCGCGGGGACGGCGTATCAGGAGATGACACCGCAGCACCGGTCGCTTTCTTTTCGCTGAGATGCTCAATGACGCCCTCGAGGCGCCTTAAGCGAGACAGGAGCTCCGCATCTTGTGGTCGTTTAACTTTGCGCGGTGCCCTTCCTGGTGGGGGAAAGATACACTGGATCCCGGCCTTGGCGCAGTTGGAGCAAGGGGTTTTCTTGTTGCAGCGAACTTTTCTCCGACGGCAAGTGATGCAGCTGCGCAAGCTGTGGTCCTGTGTGGAATGGGAAGGGATGCCGTGGGTGTCGTGGCTGGTATGCGGGCCAGGCACAACGTCAGACCCGTTCCTGGGCGAGAGGGACGATGGGGCTGAGAGTGAGATCACAGACGAAGTGGACATGACGTGGAACTGTTGCTGATAATGACAGGAGCCCCACCAAACCTCATCCTCACGCAAGGAGAATGTGTAGCAGGAGACGATTGATGGACATGAAAAACAGGAACAGAGCGGTTAGTAAAAAGCAGGAGGAGAGAATAAAGGATTTAACTTCAACAATAATGGTTAGATAAATTATCAACTTGTCGCGCCTGACTTGGATCTTCAGTCATCGACTCATACTTTAGTGGAACCCCGGGATGAATGGTCTCTTGCTATTGGCTACACCCGGCCTGTTCTGGACCCCCCGTTGTGGTTAAGTGGTTTGTGATTGGTCATGTCTAGCCCTGCTTTACTAATCCCATCTGACAATCACGTGGAGGGGGAGGTGTAGGGCAAGAATTAGTTGAAAAGATAAAGAAGGATAAGATTAGGACGGCGCCTTTTCTCGGACTTTGTTGGCTGCGGGATTTGAGGCGATCATGCAGTGTTTGTGTACAGACACACGTCACTGGAGAGGTGCCGCCAATCCAGATGGTCAGGGCTGCTGATTGTCACCACAGTACTCCGTAGTTATCTGATCAACCTCGGAGTTAACCCCCAAAAGTCCGCCAAGTCAACACGCTTCTATTTCCGGACGCCCAAGCTTTTTCCGATTGTACTTATTTGAAAAAAACTGCACCAGTCTCCTTGAAGTCCGCGGATGGTCCGCGGGTGGTCCGCGGAGGAGATTGTGATCCAGTTTAACTTGGTATCTATCTGCAGGATGATTCTTTAGAAGGAATAGAAGGAACGATCAGTCCCTCTCATACATTCGAGTGCATTAGACAACTTCTAATAACAGATGCTCATGTTTGATCATCTCTTGTTCGTCAATAGGAGATCGTTGTGGTAGTGCTCAAGCTTGAGAGTCGGCTGCTGACAATCGTGTAGAGCCAAGACGAAAACAGCAAGGATGTCACACGAGTAATTTCTATTTCGATCGCAGACACCACTACCATGTACTTGAGACCCACATTCACTATATACATTCACACCATTGCGTAGTACTACTAGGTAGTAAGTCGTATTATATAGTATGTTCAGAGAAGCCACACAACGGGCTTTGATGCCCAGCAGCCCATTTAACCTATGGGCGACCACATTCTCAAACGGTATTCCATGTCCCATGTCCCAGAGTAAACAAACAAGATCCAGAGTATATATAGAAACATTCCCAAACGCCATATATAGCCAACATGCGGAATTGGTAGCGCACCGAAGGCAAACGCCGTATATGCAAATAAAGTCGAAAGTCTAGGTGCTGGGCCACTTCAAATCGTTACCGTCATACACAAGCCCGACGTGATACAAGCGCATCAAGGGCGCTCCGTCGATATCATACAGTCGCACGATCAACCCCTGAACAGGCGCCCGAGGGGCGTAGTTCGAACGGGAATGTCGGTCTCCCGTCGCCCAAAGTGCCTCTTCCGGCTAAATCGAAACATGTAAGCAAGAATCACGAATGGCTCGGGCGCATCAAACCTACCTCATCTTATCCCATACTTGAGTCTGTTGGTTGAAATGGTATCTGTGCCACGCATTAGTAAGAGCGAAGAGATTGACAATAAATCGAAGCATACCCTTGGAACACGGAAGCAGTCATCGACTTTGACCCGTATTCTTTCTTTAGTAGACGAACGTATTCGAACGGGATCTTGACCGGAACATCTTCGAAGTAACTGTTCCGCAGTGGGAAGATCTCGGTTTCCTAACCCCAGGTCAGCCACATTGTTGTGTCACCAGTTCACAAGCCACCCACATCAAACCGATGGCCATCCTTGCACATCAACGCCCCAGGCTCGCGATCATTCTCCCTCCGCTCATCATCCTTGCGTACCGCCGTAATATCGATAAACAGCCCAGACGACGTGTCTATCCACCGCGCATCGATCACGTTTAGCTTGTCATCGGTCGATCGGACGACATAGTTCGGGTTAATCTCCAGCAAATAGGTTCGGCCGCCATCGACGCCTGAAATCTCAAAGTGGTGCTCGGTCATGTTAT